TGATTATTTTTGACAGAAAGTAACACACAATCCTTAACTAACCTTATGTAACACTAACCTTATGTAAATCACAAAAGAACATTGTTTTAATTCTTAATTAAATATAGCACTTGTAGTAAATTGCTAAAATTCATTGTTAGGAAAATCTCACTCTTAAAAATATAGATGTAGAATATCAGATACTTTTGCCTTTCAAATTGGAAATTTTGTGGTTTTCTCTGGGCATAATGTGGACGCGATCAAGTTTCTCTTAGAATGTTCTCCACGGAGGCATTCCTCCCTTTAGGCAGATAGCTCTCGCGTGCTTTGAAGTAAAAATAAAGCAAACCAAACCAAAAGCTTCAAATTGTTGTTTAACATTTTTGGGGGGGTTCTAATACGCAAATTATTGTTAAAGAACAATTTGAAGCTTTTGGTTTGGTTTGCTTTATTTTACTATTTATTTTACTTTATTTTACTTTTGCTTTATTTTACATTTTTTTGGGGTTCTAATACGCAAATTATAATGATTCTCAGTTCGGATTTACTCCTTGGAAGTCCGCTGAAGACGCCATTATTCGCCTTTGTAATATCTTGCAGTGTGCAAAGAAAATGAAGTATACTACACTTCTTATTTTCCTGGATTTCAAAGGAGCTTTTGATAATGCTTGGTGGCCATCTATCTTAAAAATTTTAAAAGATGCTGGTATACCACACAATATCTAGAACCTTCTTAAAAGCTTCTTGAACGAGAGGACTACTGAGCTTCAGCTTGGGAACAAAGCTAAGGTTTATTCTCTAGAAAAAGGCTGTCCTCAAGGCTCTGTATCCGGGCCTACTCTTTGGAACATAATCATATATGATCATTTAAGTCATCTCGACGGTTGTTTAAAAATTGAGTTTGCAGACGACTTACTATTAATTTTCCAAGGAAGGATTTTGAATAACATTCTTTTGAGAGCACAAGAAGTTCTAGATTTTGTCTCCAGTTGGGCGATTTCTCATAAACTCACTTTCAATCCTTCAAATAGTAAAGCTATGCTTGTCCCCAGTACGTTTGATGAACAAAATATTGCTTCTTTGATGCTCGATAATTCTCCGTTGGAATTTGTAGAAAATGTTAAATATCTTGGTGTCATTCTTGAGCAAAAATTAACATGGAAAAAGCACATTGAATTCCTTTCTGCTAAATGTGAAAAAATTATTAATGGCTTTCACCGAATTGCCAAAAATACTTTTGGAGTAAGCTACGATGTTAAGAAACTCATGTATAAGCAGTGTATTGTGCTTTCACTTCGTACGGCTGTCGTGCTTGGGGACATGTTCTTGCCAAGAAGGTTAACAAAAGAAATTTAAGAAAGATTCAACGGAGAATTCTTCTTCGTATTATTAGTGGTTATAGAACCTTAAGCTATGAGGCTACTTTTGTTCTTGCAGGAGTTACGCCTAGTGATTTTGAAATTGCATATAAGAATAATATTTTTGAGTCATTGGCAACTCATGCTTCGGAAAACTGTATTGATGGAATTGTCCCCTTCACTGATCTTCCTCATCCCGCTTCTTTAGAACCCATAAATTTCTGCGATTATAAAGAGACTGCTGAAATAAGTTTTCATATGGTTTTCTTTACAGATGGCAGCAAGATGAACAACAAGGTTGACCTTGCATTTGTTCTTTTTGAAGGCCATTCCGAGATTTGTTTTCTTAGACACCGTATACCGAATGAATGTACAGTTTTTCAAGCAGAACTTCTGTGCATTTATCTTGCCGTCAAATGGATCCAGGATCATGGGACAACATCCTCAAAGTACCTTATTTGTTCTGATTCTCTTTCTTCTCTTCAACTTTTGAACAGTATTACCAGCTGCGATAAATTAGTTATCGAAACCCTAGTAACTGTTAGTTCCCTTAGAATTAGAGGTATTGATATCTGCTTTGCTTATGTGTGTGCTCATCATGGTTTCTACGGAAATGAAAGAGCTGATTTCTTAGCTAAAGATGCCTTAAATTTACCCATTGATATCAACATTAGTATTCCAAAGAGTTATTGGAAGTCCTTTCATTATAAAAAGCTTTTAGCTATGTGGAATGAGGAATACATTTCATCTTTTAATGCTGAAGTCACCAAAATGTTCCTTCCTTCTATTTACCATAGACTGAATTCCGATTCTTTCCTCTCGTTAAATTTTAAAGTGTCTCAGTTTTTATCTCATCGCGGTAAATTTGCAAGTTATCTGTTTCGTTTTAATCTACGATCAAACAATTTATGTGAATGTTCAAAAAGAGTTCCTCAGGATGTAGAACATTTGATTTTCTCGTGCCCTACATTTGATGGCCCTAGATTATGCTTACAGAACGATTTAAAAATGTTCGGAGTGATTTGGCCAGTGAACTTATTTGTTTTCGTGAAGTCCAGACTGCTGTTCTCTGCTTTTGTTCGCTTTATTTATGCATGTAATTTTTACATGTAACATTTACTGTTCTAGTTAACATACTTCTGTAAGCCCCGTGTTGTACATATGTGGTGCACGGGGAGTCTGTATGTTCTCAAAGGAAAAAAAAATACGCAAATTACTTAGAGATCTCAATTCAAATTATCAAATGCTATTATTTAAGTAAATAAAAGCAATCTGAGGATTTCCATTTAAATTGTTTGTTTTAAAATAAAAAATAAGAAGAGTAATTTTTGAAAAAATCTTGTCAACATCAAATAGGGATAGGAACATGCCAATGTAAAATTTAATATTAGGCCAAAAGAAACGCTTTGACGTAGATTTTGGATAAAACTTAATCAATTTCGCAGGTAGTCAGAGACAGGCCTATTTCTTCAGTAGAGAGAAAAAAAAATTTCTGAAGTATTTGTGTATTTATTACATAAATGTTTTAATGCTTCCATAGCACTGCTAATCGATAAAATTTATTTGATGAAAAGTAGAAAATTTGCTTTTAAAATTCCGTTTTTTCAACCTTTTTCAGTGCCATATGTGGCATCGAAAAACACGTCTGGCCGGGAGGCAGATTTTAATGGCTGAAAAATTCTTAGAATTTAAAGAGGCATCGAACAAGAAAATTTAGACATGGCGAAATTCTAAGAATTTGGCACTTGGCAAACAAAAATTTATTGGACGGAAATAGTTTTAGAATGTAAAGAAGCACAGAACAACATAATTTAGGCGTGGGAAAAATGTTTTAAATTTATGGAACATCGGTCAATAGAAGTAAGATCCCACAGAGATTGCACTGGGAGGCAAAATGTCTAGAATCGACCTGCTTCTCGATTATGTGGATGGACGCAGATTAACTTGCGAAAGCTCAGTGAAGCAAGAGCTATACATAATGCAGCTATTTACAAATTCTGCTGTAATAAACTGAGATTTAATATAATAATTAACACTATATATCAGTTTACGAAAACGTGATGATACTTTTGAGAAATTTTCTGTGCCTTAATTCCCCAGTACACTAAAAAAATACAATGAATTGTATAATGATATTACTAACAAAATGATGTCGATGATGCATCTAATTTTTACCTTTTTATTAATCTAAATAGATATGTCATTAATTTATAGCTTTGAAAGTGAAAAATGTTCAATAAAATAATATGTGATTATGAAAGCTGTGCAAAAGACAAGAAAGCATATTATGGATACCTGCTTGAGGAAAAGGATGCCTTTGTAGATGACGTTTTCAGGGAAACTGGTTTCGTATATACAACCTAAAATTCACCAAAATACCAAGCAACAAACGCATTCGCCGAAATTCAAACCAGGGAAAACTACCAGTATTCAGTTGTAAAAGAGAGTTACATCTATAAACAGGAAACATGCTGAAATAAGTATTTATTTCATCCAACAATGATATGATTTTCTGATATAATTTAATGGAATATCACTGTAAAAGAATGAGAATCATTTCTTTTTCCTTTCGTAAGGAGATTTTTTTTTTCCGCTTTGTTTTCAACATTTGGTTGAAATGCAAATTAAATAAGTACTTACAAATGTAGAATATTGGATAGCCATTGATGATTTCGAGATTCTGTTTCTGAAATTCATTTCATCTGTCATTTTCTTAAAAAGGGGATAGTGAAACCAACTTTCAGGGAGTAAAATAATTACTAGAAAAGAGTTTCTAATTTTTTTCATTATTTTATTCCCAATTTAAATTTATTAGAACATTTTTCTATCCTTAAATGGTGATTTGCTTTCCGAGAACATTTTCTGAAAGGAATAAATTACTTAGTCTTCAAACCACGACAAAATCTTGCCATTGCCGGTATTTAATTCCCTTCATTTACTGAGATAACCTGCTTTGTTATAAGTATGGTACATGTTTTCTTACTGAATTTGCATGCTCAAAGCCATCTAAATGAAGAAACGCTATTGTTAATATCAGGGTATGAGTACATATATGAAAGGGTTATATATTTTTCAGAATTCCCCTATGAGCTGTTTATTCTTAGGGCAGAAAGAGGAAAAAGCTTGCGTACATCGCCATTCTTCGGAAACTAGACAGTACCGAACACATTACTAGACAGTCCGGTTTGCCGAACAATAGAGTTTATCTGATTCCTAGTTGTAAAAGCTGACAGTTATAAATTGCTATGTTCATGGGGACCTTCGGAAGGAATCAAATTACTATAAAAGTTCCTCTCTCTTTTCAAAACTCTCTTCTATTTGAAATGAATAAAATCATTTTGTACGGTTTCTAAGTTTATTGGATAAAATAGGGCATGGAGTAAATTAGCATATGTATACATTAGAAATTTTATTGACAACATAATTTCGAGGGGGAAAAGATACAGTTTAACAATAGCTGAGGTGCTTTAAATTTGAGGTTAGTTATGAAAATTCTTAGTTCTTTTTTTTGAAACCTTTATGTTGAAGTTAACATTTTTGTATTCTTCACATTTTGTACTTTAGCTTTCTTCAATCAGTTATAGTTTTAAAATTATCAAAGGTAAGTTTATTTTTCAACTTATATAATGGATAATGGCTCTGATAGTGCACTACTTTCTTCAGATACTGAATCTTGCGAATCATCAGAATCTGAAAGCGATTCAGATCCAAGTTGTGACGACACAGATGCTAAAGACTGCTGTCAAATAAATGTGCAAGATACTCCACCAGCTCCTTCAAGATTTCCTTTCCATGGAAATGAAGGTATAATCTAAATGTTATTCTTTTCTTTCCCCTTAACTGAATTATTACACCCAAAGTGTTTTCTTGAAATTTGTGAGTTTGGTAAAAGAACTTTTGTTGACTTATATTGACTTATCTCAGAAAGCGAGTTCACAGAACTGTATTTTTAAAATTTTTATTTGAAGTATTAATAATTTAGAAGTGTTATTAAGTTTATTCTAAAAGCATTAGTTTGAAAGTATTCATTTTTTGATATGCTGCGTTTGAATATTTTTAAATACTTATCACTTTTCATTATAAATAGAATTCAGAGTTATGGCTGCATTTTTTATTACTTTAATGCTTTTCTTTGAATGCTTCGTAACAGGTATATTGATATCAATGGTGAAATGAGCGGCAAATTATACATATAAATATGATTCATATTTATATGATTGTATGGTATATGTTTTATTATAGAAATTTTAACATATGTTTTTTCTGCTTATGAAGTTCAAAATATTTTCATATCATACTTTCAACTAAAAATATAAAATTTAAAATGAAATATCAAACATATGAGTTGTTAAAATGGTTTTGATTTTAGTATTTTGTTTCCTATTAATTTCTAGTATTCATAGCAAAAAATGAAATGTCTATTCCTTTTTAGAACTTGAAAACTACTCTTAATTTCTACTCCTTTTTAGAACTTGAATAGTTTTGTTTAAATTTTTATGTTCGTTTTCCAAATAAATAACAGAATTGAAATAATAATTATGTTCTTATGTTACTAAATAAACATTTAACTGATTGTTTCTTTAGATGGCCAGTGTTTGGCGGAGAGTAACAATTCTGTTGATTGTACATATAAATTTGCATGGATATACATAGGAATGTACGTGTATGTACGTGTACTCAGTTTTAAATTATAAATGAAAAATCATTTGATCTTTTTAAGGGGAACAAAATCTAACTCCGGATGAAATTTGACAAAAAAGGAAACGTGCGTTGCAAAAGAAAGTTGTTTCTTTCATCGAGAAATACATAGTTTTTTCCTCAAGTCTTTCAACGAACCACTTCTTTAAGTTCAGATCTGAAACTAAGTTTTAAAACTGTTCTGTTATGCTCTTCTCTTAACTGCCTTAAAACGTTATCACAGGATTTTCAAAAATCGATTTTATATGTGTATTTTTGTCTTTTTTACCTCGTAGATTTTCAGATTAATTAAATTAGAATGTATTAATAAACCATGATGTTAGTTTTGAATTTGATTAAGAATGAATTATTTTATTTTTGTTTACGCCTTAAACTATTTTTAAACATTGCTTTATCTTTTGTTTTGCTACTGATAAAACTCCTTTTACAAGTTTAAAAATTCCCATACCTGTATGTTGTGTATTTAGTATGAATTTATCAATAAGAAATAACTAAATCTTTTTATGCAATACATTCTCAAATATTACCCAGCAAATATAAAGTTAAACAACTTCCTGAAACAATATTGCTCTATAAAAATAGTATATTTATGCAGATAAATAATAGCTGAAAAAATGTCAGCATTTATATGACCATTGAACATTTATGTGCAATCTATGTTCTGCACAATCAGTACATTTCAAAAGCATCAGTACTTCTGTATCTATTGCATTCATTGCATACAAATAGATAATTAGATTTCAATACCGTATGAAAAAGTGTTTTGTATCAATTGAATAAAAAGTATGTACACAGATTTAAATGTTCTTATATAAGCTTAAAGAATGTATTCAATAATGTGGTTTATCCTTACACTCAAAGCTAAATAATCAAAGACAAACTTCTTTCTAAGTTTCCGTAAGCAGATTTAAATTTTTATCCTAATAATTTTACTACTAAAAAAGAAAGGCCCCCCTAGGTTCAACTGTTTAGTGTAAAATTTTACCTCAGATACTTTGTATATTGACTTATTTGCGATTTCCTCAATTTCTATTTTAATTAAGTGCTGAAACTTCTACTCATAATTTAAATTAAATAGCGATTCTTTTTATACTAGACAATAGAAAATAAGGAAAAAATCGATATTACTGTGTTTCTAGCAATTAATTATTCTTTGCAATGTGATATTATGTAGTACACATTATTTACTTTATGAATGGGATTTCTGGAACAGAATGGATTATCTACATAACTGCAGCACTTAAACGGAGTGCATAGGAGACCTACATAAGAGGAATTTAGGCTGTTCTTTCTCTTTTTTAAAGCTTGTGTGGTAATAATAAATTTACCATTCATCTCGAAGGTATTGCTATGGTATTAGGCTGCTTTCAGACGGCGGCGTAAAGGGCATAGAGGCATAGTCATAAGGTCATAAAATACGGGAGTTCCATTCACATCTGCGAGACGAGTGTCTAAGCTGTGGCCAATGAGAGAAGCTAAATTTGCGCATGCGTGGATGTGTCTACACTTTTCGCGCCCTGTTTTCCCGCTCGATTGATTTCCCACGTTCGCTTTGCTTGTTTTCGTTATTTTGTGTCATGGCTTTTTCAGCTCACCACAAAGTTTGACTGGCTCAATAGAATGCTCTTTTATCTGCCCTTCTTATTAGCCAAGTAGCAACGGAAGAAGTTAAAAAAAAAAATGAACGAAATGGTCTAGACATATTCTTTTGGAAAGACCAAGACTTCGTTGGCACATATTTCTATGCAAAGCAGTATGGAATATTTCTGCATTGGACTGTAGTACTCTCTATACTATAAATATGCACCTGCATATTTATATATATAAAACCTTCTTCAATTTTTATATGTAATTTCTCTTAGGAGAAATACGATATTCTAAATATGCTTAATTAAAAAAAATAATCTTGAGGATAAACGACAGATAGCCTATATATAATATTTTTTCCATTTTGCAGATGTGAAAGCAGTTAAGCGGAAAACAGTACTTACCATACATTAATTTTTTTAAAAAAAATTTAAATCAAAAGAAGCATGTTTCTGTGCTTAGCACTCCTTATTCACTGTCACTGTCGATCACTACGGTAGTTGGCTGCATTACCAGTATCAATTATTACTAGTACTAGTATCCTACAACTGGTCACCATGACCAGCAACTACAACTATACCTGTACAATACTATGAAACGTTCACCCAAAAATGTATTTTATGCTCAGTCATTAAATACATTTTGCTGTGTTGTCAGCTGTTTGTATACATCTATTTCTAATAATTTGCATGTATAAGCCGCACCCCTGAATTTCATATGCTTTTTCTGAAAAAAAAAAAGGGGGGGTTTACACTCAAGAGACTACATTACATAGTAAACACTAACTTTCAGGAATTTTTGTGGATAATTCTTAAAACTGGTTTGTTTACATCGTATGAGTAATTCAAATTAAACTCCGCTCTCCTGTGAGATGTCATAGATGTAAGTTTCATCCACGTCTGTTGTCAGAAGTAATTACTTTTAATGATTTTTCATTTGCTGACAGATTATGACAATTCTTCACTCACTGGCAGACATGCATATTAAAGCACCAAAAAGAGTTTAATTTCAACATATGCTGTCATTTCTATTTAGGACCAATATCTCAAAAGTAATTTCACATTGACAAATTTACCCAAGTCTTAGTTTAGGTACCCAAGTCTAAGTTTAGGTACCCAAGTCTTCAAATACAACAAAATTATAAACATTCATACCTTATCCAGGAATTTCTGCCAGAGAAATAACATGAATTTAATGCTAAAAATTCAATTCAATTGATAGTAATAAAGAGTGGATAATAATAACAAATACTATTCATTAAGTTATAGTCCATGTTATGAATTATGTGTGCTGTACTCTGTTCATAGTATCATTAAATATTAACAAGAGATCAAATACAACACAAATTAATAAGTATAACACAAATACAATTATAATAATACTGTTACGGATTTGGTATTTAAATAGCTAATGTTAATAGAGTTATAAATAAAATTGTTTTACTCCCCGTACAGTGCCGCGCGTTACGAATAATAAAAGAAAGCTAAGCCGGAAAAATTAAAAATACAAGAGCGCGTGCATTTAACATTTAGTAAATAAATATCTCTCTTTGATTTCGAGAAAATACCAGAAAGTTCTCGCGGATTTAAAAAGCTTATATAAGCGGCAATTCGTTGTTGTTATTTAGTTAGTTCTAGTGAGCATCAAGTTTAATACTTATGCAATTTTTCTATTTCTACTCGCTTTTATTTAATTCTGATGAGGAGGTACATTGTTTTCAGCCATAGGCACTTCGTAACTTTTAATCATTGGCACTGACATTATTTAGTTAGTTGTTGTTTTAAGAGTTTGTTTAGAAAACTGCTCTTGTTGACTGTAGCGAACTCGCGGATTAGCTTTCTTCTGTTTTGAATTACGTTCTGTTTAATGTTTAAGTAGTTAAAAGATAACATCTGTGAGATATTGCAATACCGTACGAATATCTTAGAAAATGTAAGTTTTTTGTTTTATTTATTTGTGATAATAATAAATCTTATTCATTTTTCATCGGACTTGTGCATTCAATTCATAACGAACCCGTACACACGCAACAATTTTTGGTGTCAGAAGTGGGATTTTGAATGCCAATTACAAGAGCTATGGAAGAACAGATGAGGCAGTTGATGACTGCATTTGCTGCATTCCAAGCAGAGATCAAAGCAGATCAAGAATCCGTTAAAGATGAGATCAAAACAGTTAAAGAAAAGATGGATTCTCGTCAGGAAAAGATTGAAGCAGGACAAGAAAAAATGAAAAGAGAATTTACCTGCATAATAGAAAACAAATTTAACGAAGGCAGAATTGACGCTGTTGAAAATAAAGTTGGACACAAAGGAGAAAGAGTTTATGCTATGGAGCAACGAATCGAAGGAAGAGTTTCTGCCGGCCAACAACAAATTGATGACAGGGTTTCTGAAGCCGTTTCCAAAGAAGTTAACGCGTTAAAAACGTTCATAGCTTCATCAGGAAGAAATTCGATGCTTTAAATTTTTACCCATGGTTAACAAACGATCACAAGGCAGACGAAGGTCACGACCGAA